TGTCATTCTCCCAAGAGAGGACCTCCACGGGAATCCACAGGCCCAGCCCCACTGGATTAGAACCAAGGCCGGCCACTTTCGCCTCCCCGTGCACTGGGAAAATGAGCACCCGAGACAGACATGGATGTCTTTTGTGGTCAGTGCCACCACAGTTTCTCAACCAGACTTATGCAATAACCTCCAAGTCAGTCTCCCTTCCTCTGTCTTTTTTCCCCCAAACCATCCTTCCCCTCTAAAGCTTCAATCAGTGCCCATCACTCCCTGGCTGGCAGTGGCTTCCCGTTTCACTCCAAGTCCTACCCGAGACCTGCAATGTCCTTTCTATCCAGCCGCAGCCTCCCAGCCAGACTGCAATGCCCTCTTCTCCTGCCCTTATTTCCTGAACTCCGGTGAGGGCCCTCTCACTGAACCTCAGACACATCAAGTGTCAGCCTACCTCTGGGCACCTGGAGTGCCTGCCACAGATCTTTGGCTCCTGCTCAACTTTCAAGCCTCCCCTCGGGCGTCACCTCCTTAGGGACAGTGGGTCACCCTCTGCCGTGCCCTTCCCCAACACTCCCTACCACGTCACCCACATTCATGTTCCCCAGAGCAATCATTACTGCCTGAGAGAAGGGTATTTACTGACTCACTGGATTGGATTCAATGCTGGAATGTGAACTTGGTGATGCTTTATCCTCTGCTCCACTCCACATGGTAAAACCAGTGCCTGGAATGCTCCAGTTAGTGCCCCACACATTTTTATAGATGGGCTGCTTTTGACTGAGGGAGGGGAAGAAAAAAGACGATGGCAACTCTAAGCAAGCAGGACCACTCACAGCTCCACACCACGGGGTGAAGGTCTGGGCCACCTCACCTGGCAAAGGATACTACCAGGTAAGGTACTGGGCAGGTGCTGGTGGAGTACGCGACCAGCACGAGATGAGCGAAGTCAACAATAGCACGTATGGCCTTGCAACCAGAAGCAGAAGAGAGAGATTTCCTTTTGTGGTATCACATATATATACATAATATTTATTTATTTTCTATCTCCTTTCCTCCCCCACCTCCTTCCACTACCACGATAAGGGTGTGTTGTGTAAATTTCCCTCTGGGCATACACAGAGGAAAAGGCACTGCAACAGAACTGAGGGAGAAACGGCTACTGCTCCGGAGGGCCTAGACTCAGAGCTGTTTGCAGTAACTGATGAGCCTCTGGGTTGTCTCCCTCAAGGGAAGGAGTGAGAGGGTTTTTAATTATACATGGAATAGGTGCATCATGTCAGAATGACATTTTTTAAAAAATGAACACCCTCCACCCTGCTTCATTTTTCTTTATAGTACCACCTGCCCAGTTACATAGTCACTTGTTAATTCATTATCCCCTCACTGGAATAAGTGATTTAAGGGCTTTGTTCTGTTCCCTGCTGTCACCTGGCACATGGTAAGCACTCAGTAGTTACTGGATATATGAATGAATGAATGAATGAATGAATGAATGAACAAATGGAGAACCTGTCCAGAATCTACTTCTATTTCTAACACTACTTGGATTTCCTCTAGGGGAATGACCTCCTTTCCATTGTGTTCAGCCTCGGTGACAGGGTACCATGTACCTGCCTCCCAATATGGAAGGCGAAGGGTCTCTGGAGGCCCCTAGCCCTTCTCCCTGTTCTAGTGCCACCAGGCAGTAGACACCTCACACCTAAGCTTCAAGGGTTGATTTCCCTATCCTGGGATTTTTGACTTTTAAGTGACAGAAGGAATGTTGGCCTTCACTCATTATGCCCTCCTGCTACGTGCTTCCCTCAGCTTCTTCCAAGTGGTTCCTTGATTCCCAGGAACAACCCTAAAGGCCATCCATTTCCTACACTGGTTCTCTAGCCATTCTTTCAACTCTGGGGACATCGGACACCCTTCCAATAAATTCTCTTTTTGCTTAAGCTGGTCAGAGTTCGTTTTTGTTGCTTCTCAACAAAAGAACATTGAAGTCAAAACAAAACACTATTACAGAAAGCACAGAAATAAGCTGTTTGTATGTATGTATACAGGGTTGGAGGAGAAATCACCTACATTCCATCCTAACCACATGAATTTCATTTTTGCATTATTCCTGTTAAATCTTTGAACATATGTGTTCATGTCGTATATTGTGATTGTGGTATATATTACGGGTTGAATTATGTCCCCCATACAGATGCTGAAATCCTAACCCCTAGTACCATCAAAGTAACCTTATTTGGAAATAAAGTCTTAGTAGATGATCAAGTTAAGAGGGGATTATTAGAGTGGGCCATACCTCAAGAACAGGGAGAAAGCTACATGAAGATGAAGGCAGGGATAAAGGCAGTACATCTACCTGCTAAGACACAAGGCACCCGAGACAACAGAAAGCTAGGATGGGAGCCAGCAGAGACTCCGTGACCCTGCCCTCAGAAGGAACCACCCCTGCCAACGCCTTCCTCTGACCTCCAGCCTTCAGTGCTGAAACACAAACTTCTGCTATTTAAGCCACTGGGTCTGTGGTACTTTGTTACAGCAGCCTTAGCAAATTCATACAATAAACATGGTTTTATTTCCTATTTTTCTTCTCACTTTAAAATTGTAGCCGTTCCGTTTCATGCTGTTGCAGGGTTTTCCTATCTGTGTTGTAAACTGTTGTGAGGTAGTGGCCCATGCAGCACCCGAACTCACTATTCCACTCTGAATGAACATTTACCGTGCTTTGACTTTCGTGCCATCACAACACTGTGAAGAGTATCTTGTGCATATAGCTTTTTTTCTCCTTTTGGATGACTTTCTGAAAACACATCACCAGAGGTGGATGACTGGATCAGAGGGGATGAACATGGGGCCTGGTGCTGAGCGGCTTTGCAGGAGGAAGACAATGAATGCACGTTGTCTCCAAGGGCACACAAGGGAATGAGAATGTTGACATAAGGTAATGGGAAAGACGGGAGCTCTAGGCAAAGGGGCAATGTGAGAAGCACAGAGGGAGTGTGAAAGCCTAGAGAAGATACAGAACACTGGATGGCAAGCTCTGGAGGGAAAAAGGAGAGAAACAGATGGAAAGTGAGACTCGGGTTGCACAAAAGCCTATAAACTCATAAGGAACTGGGACTTGATTCTAATGCTTGGAAAGAGTTAAACATAAACAGTGACTCTGACTACAGTGTGTATGAAAACTTGGCCTGAGGAGGTGAGGGGGTGGCTGTGAGGGGAAGGGTTAAGGAGCCTAAGAAGCAAGGTGACCCTGAGGGCCAAAGGATGGGATTTAGTGACTCCCCAAGAAGGGGGGCAAGGACTCCCAGGTGTCCAGCCTCCTTGGTTGAGGGGTTGACAAAGGCATGAGATGTTCACAAATTCCCTCAACCTCCACCTGCAAGTCCCACCTTAAGTCCTCTCAGTGTATGTGACACAAGTTAGAAACCATGGCAACACAATTGGGAGTGATAGCATTTTCTCACCATTCACCAACTCTCTGACTTTTCACCACCCAGTGTGACCCTCCTGGGCCACGGTCCTCAACAATTTCTGTCAGAATCCATCAGTGACCTTCTTGTTGCCATTTTTGGTCACTAGCCATCATCCTCTTCTGCCTGTCCTTAGAAATGCCTCCCTTGACCAGGGAGTCCATACCTCCTTGTTCTTTCCCTTCCTCGACCCATCCTGTTCCTTCTCCTCCTCTCCCTAGAATTTTAGTCCTTCAAGTGACACCCTCCACCTTCTTCAAGGCTGTTGAAACCTCACCCCTTCTTACAGCTTCAGTTGCCACCCTCACGTGCAGGACTTGCCCACACAGTAAGGTGGTGGCCCGGCTGAGGCAGTAGCTGGGTTTCCTAATGCCCAGCTCTTACTCTCATGCTCACCACATGATACTCATTTCTAAAAGTAAGACAGGAAACCCTGCCGTTGGAGCTATAATCATAGCACTTCTTTAAAGAGTCAATATAGTTCAGTGGTTAAAAATGAACCACTTGGTATTAAAAGTTCTATTTGTAGATTCAAATCCCATTTCTGCCCCATCCTGGGTGAGTGACTTAGGGCAGTCTACCCCTGTATACCTGAGCTTTTTCATCTGTAAAAACAAGGATTATAATAGCATCCAACATGGCAGGTAGCTACGAAGATCAAATGAGCTAATACATCAGAGCACAAGGCACATCTGCCACATGGTAAGTCCTCAATAAATGTTAACTCGTTACTCTTGTCCAGTGCACAACAGGCCACACCATTCTTATCTGACCGGCTGATTGGCACTGACATGAATTAGTGTAAGGGAAGATTTTCTTTTTTAAGAATGTAAACACCAGGGGTGCCTGGTGGCTCAGTCGGTTAAGCTTCTGCCTTCAGCTCAGGTCATCCTGGGATGGAGCCCCACGTCGGGCTCCCTCCACATCTGGCTCCCTGCTCAGTGGGGAGTCTGCTTCTCCCTCTCCCTTGCTCTTCCCCTCCCCCCTACTTGTGCTCACTCTCTCTTTTAAATAAATAAAAATCATTTTAAAAAATTAAAAAATGAAATGATTCCATTCATTAAAAAAAAAAGAACATAAACATCATTCCAAAAACGTGGTTTTAATTCAAATCAACAAGTGTTTACTGGGTAAGTACTGTGATAGCATATTAGCTACTACTGTATTAGACAAACTTTTCTTTGGCATCTGTGAATCTCAAACACACAGAAACAGCTTCAAAAAGGTTCAGACAAATGCCTGGGACTCCATTCTTAGCTCTCCACCTACAGGAACTTAGGTACACAGACACAAGGGGAGCAAACTTCTCAAACGGGGTCACTGTGATGACATAGAGCACCCACTCCAGAGGGCTGACGACACCCTCACGTCTGCAGCCCCTGAGATGAGCCCTCCTCACTCCCAGGGGAACAACGCCCTGGCCCAGAGGCAGCGGAGAGGTGCACAATCGAATGGGCACCTTGGTTTCACTGGGAACAGTCCAACTGAGGACTCCACACCAGTTTCTGAAAAGGGAGCCCCCAACCAGGGTGGGCCTGGGAGACTCACCATTGGATGCTCGCATCTGCCGCCGGCGTCCCACTCGGTCCAGCCCAATGGGGGTGCTCTGGGAGAAGGTGAAGGGCCGGAACCGGGCCGAAACCGCCTTGTAGGGCAGCACCTGGTGAGCGGGCACAGGAGGCCTGGCTGCCGGCTACAAAAGGAAAGCAAAACGCTGTGAGGGGATGCCAGGAAGTGGCAACTCCTTCAAAGCTCTTCACACACACAGCCCTGAGCAGCTCGGCACTGTCACCTCCAAGCCACTCACACACTTGAGATGCTTTCTCCAGACCGTGGCAAGAGCTTCAGGCTGCACCCAGGCGCGGTGGCAATGACTTATTTCAAGATTTTAAACAACCAGTATTGACTCAAGGGCTCTTACCTCACAGCAACACATTTCATGTTATTTGTCAGCAATATACCAGGGGTAACGCTCAGTAAAAGCAAAGCGTCCAAGAAGAGAAGCAGATTTAGGAAGTGGTGGCTTTCTCACACAGAGTCAGGGGCAGAAAGGAAGAAGATGTGTTCCCAGCAGCAGCCTCCAGGGCGAGTAGACAGTCCTGGAGGACAGACTGGGACTGGCATACCTGCCAGGCACATCCAAGTGCAGCCACTAGGTACGCATTTGTGGGATACAAATGCTCCTTACCTCAACTATCATGACAACTGAGCTTTGTTTAAAAGAAGTTGGTTTTCCACTTTCCACGAATTTACCCAGGTCTCTTTAGAATCACCTATGTACCCTGTTGATTTTTCCCCGTGAACCATCTCTATAAATCGAAGGCCAAGCTGGCTTATGCTTTCCTTAGGTTTTCTTCATATTTCCCCACCCAGTTCCCTAAATAAGCCTACAGTGCATAAAGTGACCTTACCACATTCCTTCTTAATGCTCTGAAGTGAAATAATTTCTAAGTGCTTTTGATTTTCCCCATACTGTGTTTCAAGTTAAAACAGATATACGGTTTGCTTTGGTTCAGAATCATTTCCTAGAGTACAGCACATCTTACTGTTGCAAAAAGTTCGTGGGATTCTTCCACTTCATTTTTTTACCTTTAGAATGCAATTCAATTTAAGTCAAGAGGAATCTGAGTGCTTGCTATAAACAAGGCTTGCTATAAACAAGGCATTGGGCTGGGCTTCACAGGGAGAATGTAAACATAAAATCCAATACTAACATAGATTTTTCTCCCCTTTTAAAAGAATTTTAGGAGTTACTGATGATATCAGCTAGCAAGCTCAAAAAGTAAAACTGGATGCTTACTCATGTACTGTTCTGGGAACCCGTGACCATGCTGGGTCTCACCAAATAACATACACTCCTCCTGAACAGGGCCTTTATTTAAATATTTTGTGGCCCCAGAGTGCTCTTTGGGTAACTAATAAATACCTGTTGAAATACTAAGGGGAAAATATAAAAATTTTATTGGTAAAGCAGTTGCAAAGCAGCAACTTGAATGTAAAGAGTTAAAAAATGGTAGGAAACCTATTTCCTTAGCCCCTAAAAAACTGATTTCTTATTTTCTTATCATTATTTTTTAACATCGGAGGACATTTTCTCTTTCAAGAACTTCGTTCAGGAAGCTCACTAAATATGCACTGCTATCTTCTCCTTATTCAGATCTCACGTGGTTTAGGACAAACAGCACACTAGTTTCCTGTATTGTTTGAGACTCCAGGAAAGACAGAAGATTAGTAAAAGGCATCCACACACGTCAGATGGCAGGTTAATTCATGAGTGTTTTCAGAGTCAGGAAGAAAGGTTGGGAGTCTGTTGTCCTTGAGGCAGACAGAAGAAAGAAAAGCAGCAGCCTGTTTAGTTCATAGGGGAGAACAAAGGCCAGGAAGTTGGAGGGCTCTGTTAGCTTTGGTAGAAGCACGGTCTTACTCGGGTTAGAAGACTCTCTATTTCCTCTGTCGGGCTGTTCCCATAGAAGCTGAGCCCGCCTATCACGGAGATGGGGCGTCTTCTCCAGCTTCCTTTGGGGGAGCCCACGGTAGGGTTCTGGTCTGCAGCGTCTGCACAGGCTGTGTTTGGCTGGTGGTCTCCCTCCACGGTGTCCTCTTTCTGGGGGTCCACAGCAACTGAGTCTTCGGGAATAGACAGACTCCGGGTGGCCAGCTGGCCATAGTCAGAGAGCGGTCGGGGCCTTGATCTCCTCCCAGAACCCCACTTCCTCCTGGTGATCCTCTGAGACTCCGACCTTTCTTCATCCCGGGATGAGTCCCGCCTCCAGGATCCCTCTGTCACAACCTTTTCAAATGTGAACAAGTTAGGTGAGCACCAATATCCGGGAAGGTATTGAAAAAGAACAAGCCATACACTCCCTCCCATCCTCTTCAGCCCTGCCTTGAGGCCTTCTTGGTATACTTGTTTGTTTTTTTAAAAGTTATTTCTGTAACAGGAAGACATAACTGAAATGTGCATTAAAATAAGCAATTCATCTTTAACTGGAGGCTGAATTTAAACCATAATTTAAATAGTGATGTATGGTGACCAAGGATGAGCTACGATAAAAGATACTAAGAAAATCAATACCATTGTGAGTTGCTAGAAAGAACTTCTATGGTATCACCCAAAATACAAAATATACATAACAATAGCATGGGGAAATGCAGGAAATCCAGTTACTTAAGGTCTGCGGATTTGGTTCTGCCACTGTTCACTGGGGAAGAATGGGTCCTTGTGTGGATGAAATGCTATACCAATGATAAGTGAGATAGCCCTTATCAGCCACAGTTAATTATTGCTCTTAAAAAGCCCTGTGTAGACTAACCATGCCCAGGTTCAGCCCTGCCTGCAGATAACCTCTATGTCAGCACACCCCTCAAAGTCTGGGTTCAGAGAAGGGCTGCTGCCTAGTTCTACAGGAGGTTTCTCCCATCCCTGGTTATTATTTTTTTTAAACACATTTTTATTTTATTATTTTTTAAAGATTGTACTTACTTATTTGAGAGAAAGAGAACAAGCACAAGCATGGGGAGAGGCAGACGAAGAGAGAGAGGGATAAGCAGACTCTCTGCTGAGCAGGGAGCCTGATGTGGGGCTCGATTCTAGGATCCCGGGATCATGACCTGAGCTGAAGGCAGACGCTTAAGCAACTAACCTCCCAGGTGCCCCACCCCCCGGTTATTATTTAAAAATAAAATAAAAACTAAAAACAGTCCAGAGCCCAGGGAAGAGAACAAGAACAAGCAGAGTTGTACTGGAGGGCAGGGCAAGCAGAGCAGGCCACCCAGGCCTGGAGGCCACCAGCGGAATGGCCCCAGGCAGCCAGGTCCTGCCTCCAGGCCTGGCCCAACAAGGCATGCTGCTTGCCAATCAGTGGCAACGAAGAGCTCAAATACAGTTCCTGTAATTTCCAATCCCATGTGCCTCAATGGTCCCTAAGATCATACACAGCTGATTTATGAGCAACATAGCGGTTTGAGGTGCTGACCCCTGGTAGGTCGAAAATCTGCATGTTAACTTTTGGCTTCCCCCAAACTTAACTACTAACAGCCTACTGTTGGATGGAAGTCAATTAACACATGTTTGGTATGCTATACATAGTATATACTGTATTTTTATAATAATATAAGCTAAAGAAAAAAAGATGTTATCAAGAAAATCATAAGGAAGAGAAAATACACTTACAGTATTGAACTGTATTTATAAAAAAAAAAAATCCACGTGGAGGTGGACCCGCACAATTCAAACCTGTGTTGTTCAAGGACCCACTGTACTATGAAAAATCTGATGAAGAGCAAAGAAAGCAGAAAGTGATTTACAGACACTCTACTGCATTGCCATCATTTTTCAAATTAGGAAAACGGAAACCCAGGAAGTGAGGGCACTTGCCCAGAGCCACACAGCCCATACACAGTAAGAGAGACACTGAAATATGGGCCTTGTAATTTCTGTTCCCACTGTACCAAGTCACCTCTGGTCCAAAGCTAGTAAGTTCTAGCAGTCACCACTTACCGTGCTGTCTGCAGCTTCTGACAGCAAGGAACTTCATATTTAAATCAAGTCACCAGTGAGGGATCTACAATACACCCCTGTGTATTCTACCGGAGCTCAAGGTATTCAAGAAGAGGCTTTTTTTCCCCCTGAACTCCCTTATCTGCCTGAAAGCAGAGCCTCCCCAAAGAACTCATTGTCATAAATCCACAATTGTGCAGGTCCAATCCTATCTTGGGATAGGATTTTCTTCTTCCAACCAGGGAAGATTTGACTCTTATCAGTTGAGAAGAGAACCCCTGGCCTCAGCAGACAGTGGCCACAAAACTATTAGACCTCCCATTTATCTTTCCTAAATCACTGGTTTTCCCATAAGTGCCCTTCTCCACCTCTCCTCCCCTAGTGAGAAAGTATAAATGCCCCCAATTCTAACCACTTCCTGGAGTCACTTTTTCCTGTCAACTCCCACTTACTCACATGAATAAAAACCTGTCTTTTCTAATCTGTCTTTTGTCAGTTCAATTCCACACACCCCCACATAGTAAGCCTAAGACGGTGGAGAAAAAGGTTTTCCTCTCTGACACCATCATGGGAAAATATGAGAAATCATGAAAAAGTTAATATTTTTTGCATTACATTTGAAAAACAGGATATTATGGAGAGTTTAACTACATTATTAAACTAAGTGGCACAATTTAAGCACACAAGAATAAGCCATTTATATTATCACCCTGTGATAAAAAGGTTCAGACAAGGTGTTAGAAAGACAGAAGACAAAATTACAGGCAAGGAGTAGTCTAACTGGTAACAAATCTACGTGCAGTTTTTTGAGGTTGTTTTTGTTCTTTGGGGTGTTTTATTTTGGTTTCTTTTTTTTTTGCACTTACGCAACATGCAGCATGCCTCACTGAAGCCTTACAGATGCAGACAGGAAAATAAGGAAATGGGCGTAGGAAGACAGGAGGCTGTCTTAGTTGTTCAGGTAAGAGATCCTTCTGAGACCAAAACATACTCCAGAAGTGAAGAGGCTGGATAAAGGCAGGTATGCCCAGAGCAGGAAATGAGAGGGCAGGAGACGTGCACAGGATGATTTCTTTAACACGTCATGCCTCAAGTTTCAACAACTGTTCCCACCGGGGGGTACGCATTAAGAACCGACTGTCATTCTCCTAGAACTATTTATACAGTCCCACTGAAGATACAAAAGGAGAAAACAGCCTTTCCAAGTGGTACTGAATGTTCTAGGAAGTACAAAAATTAGTTAACATAATAATACATACAACTGAAAGTTCCGCTTTACTACAAAAGAGGGAGAGACAGTGATCCTTGGCCAGAAGAGACTTACATTCCTTGTAAAACAAATCTGAGCTTCGATGCATATTCTAAAACTGAATCTCCTTTTGGCAGAGTCTGAGTACTTCCAGAATACAATGGAGGTTCATTCCAGGGAACATAGTTTGACTGTGATTATACCTGCAACTACAAACACCCACCACCACCAGCACACTCCGCAAGTTAATAACCTACCCTGGATTCTGCTACCGGCAGGGGCGGACCAGAGACACACTGAAGGAACAAGCAGTTGACCATATCCATGCTCTCTGAGATTCTTTCTTGCCTTTACACCAGGACAGTGAAGACGTAAGGGGTCATGCCAGAGCTGTGTCTACTGACGCTTCTCCTCACAACCCAGCAGCCAGGGCTTCAGATCAATCCAGGGCTCTAAGCTTGATTGGCCAATTCACACCCAAGTCATAAACTTTTCTAAACAAACTTTGCAGCTGAGTGGCTGCCCTTTTAACTCTTGCTTCTCTGTATTATTGTTTTAAAGTATTTTCCCTAGTCAGGAGTCCTGAATTTCTTCTTCCTATACAAGATTCCTTTCTTTGCTTCACAAAAGTAAAAAGCCAAGATAGATCTTATTACCTCCAGTGAGACACTTCAAAACATGTTTTGAAACCACAGTGCAAGTTAAGTTATTAACTGAGGAAAAAAAACGACAAAAAGCCCTGTCACGTGTATCCATTCAGAAGCTTCGTCTAAGGGAAGTGTAATGGATCAAACAGCAAAAGTTGTGGATTGAATTATGCCCCCCGTAAAAGGTACATTGAAGCCCTAACCCCCAGGGCCTGTGAATATGATCTTATTGGAAATACCATCTTTGTAGATGCGATCGAGTTCAGATGAAATCATGCTGGATTTGGGGAGCCCTAATCCAATGGCTGGTGTCCTTAGAAAAAAAGGGAAATTTAGACATAAAGATGAAAGTAAAGACAGTCATATGGGGACAGAGTGATGCATCTATAAGCCAGGAAACCCCAGGCAGAGGCCAGAACAGATCCCCAGACTTCTGATCTCTACAAAAATGAGAATTAAGTCCTCTTGTTTTGAGCCACCTGGTTGCTAGAAATTTGTTACAGTAGCCCTAGGAAACTCATACAGCAAAGCAATTCAGAAGAAAATACTACAAGCAGGGAAATTAAGATGCTTTGGGAAGACTGAAAAAAAATTAACCAAAGCAGAGCTTTTCCAGCGGAAAGAAAAAAAAAAAAAGAAAGGTATTCTCAAGATGTGCACTAACACAGTAAGCAAGCCTCCCACATTGCCTCAGCATCCTGAACAGCGAGCGTAGGGAATTCAGGTGCAGTCCCAGAACTGGAGGTGAGACAAGAACACATCCAGACAGCTCACGTTGCAGGAAACCGGCCAAAATGCTAGCAATGACAGCTGTGGCAGGCTTGGGCTACCTTACCTAATCCTCACCACCACCCCATGAGGTAGGTAACTATTCACGACATTCTACCTTTAAGACACTGGGGCAATGACTCACTCGGGTTAACAGAGCCAGAGGAGACAGGCCCATTTACAACTCAGTCTGTCTGACTTCAAAATCTCTGTCCTTTCCGCTCTGCAGCCCTGCATCCTTGGCATACACTTTTACAGAAGCAAGACAAAACTTGATAGGTCTTCCTGCCTTTAGCTGTAGAGCTGCTTGGAAGGGGGCGGGGGTGCCGGGAGGGCAATGACAGGAAGAGAGGCTCTGTAGGTACCCCTGCAAGCTGGTGAAAGCTAGAGACCCCTTCCCCAAATCTCCGTTTTGTTTTGTTTTTTAAAGATTTTATTTATTTATTTGACAGAGAAAGACACAGCGAGAGAGGGAACACAAGCAGGGGGAGTGGGAGAGGGAGAAGCAGGCTTCCCGCGGAGCAGGGA